CAACAAATGAACTCACACACGAGTAGCTTGGACATGCATCAATTGGAATGACAATACGAGAATTGAGCGAAGATTACTGGCATCCGGAGCTTATCCTTGCGGCACATGAAGCTACACGCACCTGCAAACAATGCCATTTAATGAAGCATCCAAATAAGACCTTACCAAACCTCATGCCAATAACTCCGGCTAAACCTTTCATCAGATGGGCAATTGATTTTACAAGTCCAATATTTGGCTCCATGCTCCTGAACGCAAATAAATACTCAACAGGCTGGCTAGTCAGCATGTGGACAAAGGGACTTAAGTTTGAAGATAAAATCCCCCTTTGTACGTTCGTCAAGAATCAATTCTGCGCGCCTATGGAGATAATATCTGATAATGCTGGAGCATTTCAAAGCGCAGAAGTAGTGGCATGGCATAAATCTAACGGCACGAAGATTCAGTCAATCACGCCTAATCGACCACTAGGTAATGGCAAGATTGAACAGGCTAATGGGAATATAAAATCGATAATAGTCAAGCTAGCAATGGATCAACCAGGTAGACCGATTCAAGAATACCTAGACCAAGCTGTATATCTCTACAACCGACTTAAGTCCCCCAATGGCTATTCTCCTTACTACCTAACCTACGGCACTTTACCCAGAGACGATCCTACTAGACCTTACCATTCCCCTTATCAACGAGAATCTACACCACAGGAGGAATCACAATGGACAGAAGGATTAGTACAGTCGCATGCAGCACCTATGGCTAGGTCTTACGCGTCCTCTTTGAATGCGGTAAGAGATGAAGCAAGGGTATATCTACAAGAGAAAAAGGCTTTGATTCATACATATGGTACTGATGATTGGGAACTGCGAGTCCGCCAACGTGGTAATAAAACAGTGCCATGTTATTACGGTCCTTGGTGTGTATCAGCGTGTCGCCATAGGAACACTTATATATTAAGATCTCCCGGCGGCATCGAGCTAAAGAACACCTACAATGGGGATAGCTTGTTCCCAGCCTATGCAAAAGATGGCCATGCAGTCCGAAGCTTATGGTATGCATCGCCTCGAGAACTGAATAGAGATCGACAGCAACTAGTAGATGCAGTCGAAGGATTCGAAGCCTAACGAGGAGACTAACACATAATATGTTTATTGATACCCTGGCGTTTTGTTTTATGGTGTTAAAGGTGGCGATTGATATTTAAAGCGATTCTCAGATTTTACTTAATTTTCTTGTCTCTTTTATTCATCGACCTCACATATTTGGATTGTCTATTGTTATGTTATAAATAATGGCTAGAGGACTAGCATCTGGAGAAGGAGGTTGATGTGGGCCCCGTGACTTAGGGTCGCCCAAATTCTTAGACATAACACTTGTAGCGAGAGGAAGGGAGAGAGAGGAAACAATATATACTTCATTAAAAGTCTTACTTCTAGTAATAATTGTAAGCAATCGTTATACGACTCTTTTTATATTAGATACGAGGCTTGAAGTCACAAGGCCCTTTCACGGCAGTTACTTTCTACAAAGATTATTCTGACATCCTTTCACGACCTTCGGTTTGTCCTACGGCATGAATCAAGGGAGGAGTAAGGAGGAGGCTCGGAAGGTTAAGAGACGCTCTCAGGTATACACAGGTCTGCTGCGCCAGGAAGGCCGGCCTTCCGTGTAGAAGAAGCCCACAACCAGTGATTTTTGAGACTTTTCCTTGCAGCTACACGTCCGCAAATGGTCATCGTTTAGTTGGCTGGAGATGGGAGATAATGACGGGAAAACGGCTCCTCTTAGTGTGTACTCGAACAAAGACCTGTGGGGGTACTACTGCTGGAAAGAAGTCGTGAAAAAGTGATAGGAGAGAGCACACTACCCGAGGCATAGAGATTTCTGGCTTGTAGGTAGAGTGGACCTACGTGACCTTACACAGTTGTGGAATTATTAGGACTGTAAATACTGACTTACTAACTCTCGCGAAGACTATGCCAAGAAGGGGCCTAGTCATATTAAATCTGCTAGCGGATTGTCCAAAAGGGTTTTACTCTCAAGCTTACGTGTTGGATCGGCATACAGTTGGTAGTGGATAGGGTGGGTGAGAGTGACTGTGTGCATTAAGGCGAAATATACTATTGTGAGAGAGTGCCTAAACCGACGAACGCCCATATTTAGCTGGTCAGTGCGGGCGACGAATCAATAACAGAGAAGCCAAAAAAACAAACGCAAGCTGTAGCGGATTAATTCGACGCAACAGAAAGGCTCGTTCGCAGTATCGCAAGGAATGTGCTTTGATCTATCAGAAATTGATTGATGGGTATTTTTCCCCCAAAAAATGTAGAGTCGAATATTAGTGTGGACTGTCAGTTTACTGTGCATTCAGTAAGCAGCCACTTATGCACCAAAATTGCTTATGATAAGATATCCATCCGCAAATGTCATACTCAGGTTTATTTGCTTAGGCAACACTGTTAATCCTTGTCCGTTAAAATCTATCATGGGTATCTGTTTAATCTTCTGGATACTCATGCACACCCTGTCACTTTGAACACGAGCACGGGAGAAATATGGTCGAGTCTTGCCGGGTTTGGACCGACGATCCTGTAAAAGCTTTCACCTAGATTGCACCCGTCGTTTTGCAATTTACCTTTTTCACAACCAAAAAAAAGTGAAATGCAGTCAGCAGTATAAGGCACATCAAAATTCCGAAGTCCGCGACTGAAGATTCACAATGTAAGAGGCCAGACCATATATCAGGGGGTCTGGCCAAGGAGGCAAAGGCGCCTACTCATGATCATCCGACTGCTGTCAAAGCGAAACAAAGAATCCGGCTTGATTTGGACCACAAACTAGAATTTCCCAATAGAGAGAGTGTGTGAAAGGTCGGAGCGTCGAGCAATCTGCCTTTTGGACTTGGAAAAGCTATAGTCTGCACATAGAACCTAAGCGGAACAGCTATGCTAGCTGGGTTTAGCAACCCTGCTTTTCCGAGAATAATGCCCAACCACACATAACATAGCCACCTTTCAGGCCGATGGGCCGCTCGTGACTTCAGATTGGTTTGTGAAGGCCACATCTTTTCTGCCTCGCCAGACTTTGATATTATGTCCATGCGTAGAGATGATTGACTCTACTGCCAATAGTCGTAGATCCGCACAGAGCGATGTTACTTTCGAGCTTGCTAAGAATGGGTAGCCAGTCTTCCTACCGTGGAGATGCAAACCATTTGGATCGTGAAGGTACACCCTTGAAACAACGGGCGAAATATGGTTGGGTCTAGATCCATGGATGATTACTCCCTTGCTGCAGCTCGAAGCTTTCGAATTAGATCGGTGGAGCCAGCACCGTGGCCTGTCCATCTTCATCTTGTCTACCGAACGATGAACTTCGAGGGATTTCAAGAGAGGCTTGCCAGTTTTGAAAGAGCGATTACCTTCGGTGACCCAATGGCTCACTAGCCCCATTCACACAACCCTATGCCCACAATTTCCAGGCGACAATGAGGGGTATTTGTGGCCTCAGGAGCTAGTTACATCCTGCGCGTAATTTGACCCCTTTCCACTCGGCCCGGCATAACTGGGGCTGGCAGATTTTTTACGCAATTGCAGTCAGCCTTCCACCTACCATCATGACCGTGTCCGCTTAAGCGCGGGGAAGTGAGGGTAGAACATGCTAACTTAGCCGAGCTGATTACCAGCGGCAATAGCTCGAAAGGAAGCCACCATAACTTCGCAATGGTACTTGCAAATGAAATCCGAGGCATGAGTGTTCCTGTTGTAAACTGAGCCATCTTTTCTATACTTTTCTTTGATATTGTGTCATAGCTAGATAGCTGCATACGCAATTAAAATCTGATGCAAAAAAAAATAGCTCGAAAGGGGCGGGTGCCAGAGTGGGTTGAGCCCGTGCATATAACTGGGACTACCGCCAGTCATTTAGTCCACCCTTATAGTTGACGCATAGATTTGATGCCCAAAACTGGTGAAGTCCTTACCACCACTCACTCAATATATCCCTTCCATTCCTCACTTATCCCTGGCACTTGCCCCACATAAGAATTCGTCGCACAGCGGCTAGTTCTCTTCTATTAATCGTCGATTCTATTGGCGGATATCCTGTGTAGTCTAGGGCTATTGTTGGCAAAGGAGAAATCAAATGATGTCTTTGCATGAAATACCGTCGATACCCCCTCCAATAGGTTTATTTTGACCTTTAAGCTGACACATCTTCCAGTATCAGCTAAGAAAGTTGCGTGAATTTTCGTTTGTAGACATGTAGGCTCTTGATGTATCACTTGACTTCTATCGTACAGCAGGCCAGCCCTCTCAGGTTCGAGACACGTTGGGCGGCCTAACAGGTGAAACCTAAACAAACAGCTCCCCGAGACCTTAGTGATACAAGTGCTGCCTCGGAACCATCAAACTGGCGATAATTTGGTGGCTTTTCTCGTCAGAATTTCGTGAATTAGTGAATCCATAGCCACCTACGCAGTGAAGACCCCCTAGTTCCGTGCTATTATTCGCTATTTGGCTCCGCTTGCGAGCGGCAGCTAATTCGCCTTGGCGATACTGCTATGAAGCTAGCTGATTACGTTGTGAACGAAGGGGGTTGAATCCATAGCTTTCTTGCAAAATGACGAGAATCAGATAAGTTTTAGGAGCTTGTTGTTTATCGCGTCCCGCTGCATGCGGATGCTGTGCCATACACACAAACTTGAATTGATAAATGTTCATCGAATAAATAGGCCTTTCTTAACCTCTTCCAATCGTCAAACTATCTTGAAATTCCACAATTTGCTTAGTCATTATTTAATGCACTAACACAGTTTATCATTGGCCGACGCATTCGGAAGGCCTGACCGCTACCTCGTCACACCATCCGCCCACATAATTTCTGAAATTTCCAACCTTTCTTCCCCGCACTTCTTTACAACCTTTCTTCACCTACAGTGCAACTATCCAAGTTGTACTTTCAATACAATCAACGACTAGGAATACATTCAGAAACTATTCAACATGTCCGGTCGTGGCGGTGGAGGCCGAGGGGGTGGTGATCGTGGTGGCTACCGCGGAGACCGTGGTGGAGGCGGATATCGTGGAGACCGTGGTGGTGGTGATCGTGGAGGCTATCGCGGAGACCGTGGAGGAGGAGGAGGATACCGTGGAGACCGTGGTGGTGGAGACCGCGGAGGTTATCGCGGAGATCGTGGTGGTGGTGGTGGTGGATATCGGGGAGACCGCGGTGGTGGCGGAGGTAGAGGCAGAGGAGGTGGTCCTTCACCCGAAAGCCTCGCTGTATTCAGGTAAGTGATTCTGGTTTCCATGGCATGCTCAAAGCTAACATATCAGTGATTCCAATGTATCACCCGTCGATCAAGCTGTAACGACAATCGAAGAAAACTTTGCTGCCAAATGCGGTGTCACTCAACCCATGACGAATTTATCAACTACAGATAGTACTATGCCATTACGCCCAGGATATGGAACTCTAGGAAGAAGAACTGAAGTCTTTGCGAACTACTTCAAAGTCAATGCCCCAAAAGATCTCACGCTCACTCGCTACAACATCGAAGTGTCAGCCAAGCTTGATGGAGACGAAAAACCAGCCGATTCAAAGGCCCCAACTGGAAGAAAGCTAAAGCGAATATTCCAAATTATTTTGCAACGACCTGAATTTGCCGGAGTCGCGACTGAATGGAAATCTATGATCATTGCTAAAAAGTCGTTAGGGTTTCCTGATGGACATGAGTTTGAAATCTCCTATTCTGAAGAAGGCCATGACGAGCCTCTTGAAAATGCCAAAAAATACATCATTCGAGTTGTGTCCCCGTTATCGTTCTCAGTCTCAGACTTCATCAATCACCTCTCCTCTATCAACGTAAACTCCGCTTTCGTCCATAGCTTGGAGACTATCCAAATCTTGAATGCCGTTTTTGGACACTTTCCTCAATCTCATGATGGTGTTGTCTCAGTTGGTCAAAACCGACATTTTGCCAGCAAGCCGGACGGTATCGGATTTCACAGCTGGGACCTTGATGGAGGCCTAGTGTCGCTGCGTGGATACTTCCAGAGTGTCCGTCCAGCCACTGGTGGTCTGATTTTAAATGTAAATGCCGTTCATGGCGTATTCTTTGAGCCACTTCGTTTGGACTACCTCTTTGCTAAACTAGGCCCGAACAACAAAAAAGGCCTCGCAGACAAGTTGAGGGGTACCCGAATCGGTCAACTTCATCTGCCAGCCAAGAAAAGCAAGACTGGGAAAGAAATTCCAAATATGAAATCAATTTGGGGTTTAGCTGTCCCTGGAGATGGTAAAGGTACCAAGGATGAACATCCGCCACAAGTTAAGACATATGGCGCTGGACCCAAAGATGTTAAATTCTGGCTGAGTGATCGCGTTCCTCCTGGGGATAGTAAGCCTGCACCTAAAGGCGGAAATACATTGCCCGCCAACACTTACATTTCTATATTTGACTATTTTAAGAGCAGTAAGTCTTATGATCCCATAGTATAGTAATATGCTAACATATGTTAAAGAATATCCTCAGGTTTCACTTAATCCTAACAACCCTGTTCTCAATGTTGGATCTTCAATGAGGCCGAATTATCTACCCGCTGAAGCTTGCCAGATGCTTCCAGGGCAGCCGGTAAAGCGTAGATTGAATGCAAATCAGACTCAAGAAATGATCAAATTTGCCTGTCGGACTCCATCACAAAACGCGACCTCAGTTGTCCAAGATGGAAAAAATGTTTTGAGCTTGAACCAGAACCCTATACTGTCCAACTTTGAAATGTCAGTCAGTAAGAGTTTGATGACTGTGGTCGCTCGAATTCTAAACCCTCCTGCTGTCAAGTATAGTGGCGCTGGTAGCCTCACACCCAGAAACGGCAGTTGGAATATGATTAATGTTAAGTTTCATACTGGCACCAGCCTTGGCCCTTGGACTTGCATCATGTTTCCCGTACAGGGTAGACGAGATATCGATGTGTCTAATATGCGCTCACACGTGCAGGCATTCCAGGCACAGCTCGCTGCTGCGGGAATCAACGCAAACGAGTTCATGGCTCCGGATCCTGCGACAGCCGAACTTATCAATGGAGATAGAGAGAAAAACGATCAGCGCATCAAGGCAGTCTTCCGTCAAATCCACGATAGAAACCCCAGGCCTAGATTCGTGCTCTGCATATTACCGAAAAACGATCCCGCTATTTACAATAGTATCAAGACTGTGGCTGACACTAAGGCCGGTATTCATACAGTGTGTTGCGTTTCCTCGAAGTTCACCAAGCAGCAAAGACAGGAGCAATACTTTGGTAATGTTGCACTAAAGTTCAATCTCAAGGCAGGGGGTATAAATCACATTTTGGAGCCAACCAAGCTTGGCATTGTTAGTGAGGGCAAGACAATGGTTGTCGGTGTAGACGGTAAGCACTATTACTCAGATTTTTTCAAAAATTAACGCATACCTAGTGACACATCCTTCCCCCGGATCAAGGGAAGGCGCCCCTAGTGTTGCAGGGATTGTGGCCAGCGTGGACAAGCACTTGGGCCAATGGCCTTCTCAATTTAGCATTCAAGCCAAATCGAGGACGGAAATGGTTTCTGACCTGGAATCGTTGTTTGTCTCTCGTCTAAATATGTGGCAAAAAAAGAACCAGAATCAACTTCCGGAAAACATCCTAATCTACCGCGATGGAGTTTCTGAAGGACAGTATCGTCTTGTATTGACGGAAGAACTTCCTCAAATACGCAACGCATGCCGCCTGAAATATCCTGCAACCGACACCAAACGAGGGCTCCCCAGGATCACAATTGTTGTCTGTGGTAAACGCCACCACACTCGATTCTACCCCAAAAACAGCGGTGACGCTGATAAATCATCGAATTTGATGGCTGGAACTGTTGTCGATCGTGGCGTTACAGAGACTCGAAACTGGGACTTTTACCTACAAGCCCATGCATGTCTTCAGGGAACAGCACGTGCCTGTCATTACTATGTGATAATAGACGAAATTTTCCGGTCCAACAAGGTTAAGGGTGGTCACAAAAATCACGCTGATGCCCTTGAGGAATTGACAAACAATATGAGTCATCTGTTTGGACGAGCAACAAAAGCCGTCAGTCTTTGTCCTCCTGCTTACTATGCTGATTTGCTCTGCACAAGGGTACGCTGCTACTTATCTGAAGTTTTCGACCCAAGTGAGGCCCAGAGTGTGATGAGTGGCGGGACCAACCAAACGATCGAGGACATTGTTATTCCGCCGAGTATGAGGGATTCCATGTACTACATCTAAGCTCATGGCATGAGAATGAGAATCATTAAACCATAACCTTCGGTGTTAGGTACAGAATTAGCTGTGTCAAGTTAGTATTGACGAAATACCATTTCTGTATTGTAGACTTTGCGTTCCGAAATAGTTTATGCACACGCAAATGTATAGCTATCCGAAACTATGAGGCTGTTTGGCCTACTAAGGGTCAAGTTAATTCGAAAATTCTCAGTATTTGTGTAGGAGCCTAGTGGGAAGACGGATAGGAGTGTCCATAGCGAGCAGTTTCATTTCCAATAAGTAATTCAGTACATTTGACCCCATCTTCATTTCAAGATAAGTATTGCGCAAACATTCTGCAATCATGTGCATAAAGTGATACCAAACGACCAAAAACATCCTCATTTAAAGGTTGCAATATCATTATTTGATAAGTCCCAAACCACTTACATCCCAGTGTAGACAAACAGGCTTGTCTAAATGAAGGCATAAATTCCTGCCAGCCCAATATCCCCGAGAGAATAATAGAAATCATTATGAAGGCTCGAGGCCAGAACTGTGCTCTTTGACGTTAAGATTTATGAATGTTATATTTGGTCCCCAATCTAGATCAAGGCCTCTTCTCAGAGAGTGTTATAATTATATTATTGATATTTTTAAGACTATGACTATGTAGAACAAGCAGGTTCTCTCTGTCTATAGGCCAAGGATACCTGTGCCAATAGTATATCCCCTCCTATGCCTCCCATATAGCTCCCCTCAAACAGTACCAACTCTCACAGGTCCTCATTCGATCATAAACTTAGAGAAGCCCTTTGCCCTTCATTATCTCCCCTCTCCAGCCAACAAAACGATGGCCATTTGCGGGTGTATGGCAGCCGGGAAAATTCGCAAAAACCACTGGGTGCGGGGCTCTTCTAATACCGGCATTAGGAATACATCCGAAGACATATTGGCCCTTTTGAAGCGTTCGAAGAGGCCGACCAGCTGGGCGCTGCAGACTTGTGGGTACCTCGGGAAATTTACCCTCTGCCTTTCTAATCTCTTTCCCGAAGGTCGTGGTGAAATTTCAGAAAAGTCTTGACAGAGCGTGATTGCTGTATAGTAGCTTAGCCTGACCTTTATTGTGACGTCCAGGGCGCTGGGGAGTGCCGTTGACTCATCGACAAAAGAAGCCTTCTTGGCTAATTACCCGAAACCATGGTGGCGCCTACCAACGTCCGAAAGTCGGGATCCCTCGAAAATTATCAGTCCCAGCCTTTCCAGCCTTTAGTTCTCTTTTCCCTCTCGCTCCGAACCCCAGGTGTCTGTCCTTCTTAATTTTTAGAGGTCCGTCCGAGCTACTTCCCACAGAAGTCATGACCCGAGCGCCGCATATTGTGATTTATTTCCTCCTTGCGGGTTTTTGTGATTGTGGGGTTTTGTGACATCTTAGAGTCGAGATCTTAGTGATGTGCGGTACAGGATAAGTGGTAAGTGTTTAGTAATAGGTCCGAACTAAAGTCACAGATAAAAGATATTTACAATACAATAATCTTGAAAAACGTCATTTTTCACGAAAAGCGGCACCACGTTCCACGAACGTAGTTTCATCGTTCTAATTATTGCTGCCATCAAAGTCGGCCCATATTATCCGATTCCCCGAATCATTTACATTGGGCTTCAGCATGGCGTGTTGGGGGACTGGAAAGGTGGATTTCACGGCTGGAAAAATTTTCACGGCACCACCACCAACGGATAGCGGAACAGCCGCAATAATGCTTGTAGAATCTCTCGCGACATATACAGGCATGAAACTGGATAAATTAAAAACAATTGCTTACTATCTAAATAAGGTTAGAGACAGACTGGTGAATGCAGGAACTGACGGCTCTGCGACACCGATGGTCGAGATAGATGAGGCGCTTAACGCCTTCATAACCCACGCCAAGATATCATGGTCGAAGCTGACGGGTAACCCAATGGAAGATCGAATGCTAGCCTTAGAAAAGGCAGTAACGAAGAGTCTCGAGGAGCCAGTGCGCAAGACGGTTCCTCACTCGACATATGGAATGGGAGGCCGACCAACGTACGCCTCAGTCGCTGCACCTCCAGCAACAAAAGCAGCCGTAAGAATACGAATGGAAGGATCAAAGAAGATACAGCCAACTGAGCTGCTTAACAAGGCGAAAAAACATATCGAGGGGGCATATGCCGCAAGGCAGCTGAGGAGTAATGACACTGAGGTGTTTGTGCAGTCGGTCTCCCAGCGAGACGCTGCCTTGAGAGCACAACCAAAGGAGTTCTGCGTCAAAAAGCAGGATTATCCTGTTAAAATTTTAGGAGTCCCACTGGGGACAATTATACACGGAGGAAAGAACGCCAACAACAGCGTGGCAATTTTTAAAATGACAACGGAGACAAAAACCCGGATTCCTGGAATCCAAATCAATATGGTGAGGTGGCTTAACGACGGCAAAGAGCACCAATGGATGAAGACAAACGGCCATTCTCGAGGGTTAGTTATCGCAAGCCTTCCGACCGAGGCTCTTCAACGCGAAGTAGTTCGAAACGGCATTGTGATGGATTCAATGCTCTACACGGCCCAGCTCTGGTCACCCCGAGCACATGTCAAGCAGTGCTTCAACTGCAGCAAATGGGGGCATACTCAAGCTTCCTGCAACATGGCAAGGAGATGTGGTGAGTGTGCGGGCACTCACCAGACCAGAGACTGCCCGGAGAAATCGGTGCTTTGCTGCAACTGGGCAAGGCGCATATGTCGTGGCAGAAAAAGTCGTATCAAAACTTCGCGTTATATAAGGCTAGTGTTCAAAGGGCAAGGTGGGAACTTTTGGAACGAACGGCAGATATAAAAAGGGAGGAAACAAGACCAACGGTAATAAATCAACCTACGGCTAATACAGCAACCGACCAAAGGTTCACACTCGTGTCCCATCAAAAGCCTGAGGGCGGTAAGAGAGGGCCAGGACGCCCGCGCAAACAGCCCCTGGTCCCAGTCACACAAGAATATCTATTTGCGCCATCGGAGTCAAGTTCAAGACCACAGTCAACTCTTTTCAGCACGCGAGTGCAAGGAAAGGATGGTGATGGAAACTTTAATTTTACCTAGTCTTGTCTCTGACTGAAGGCCATTTGCACTTACTGTAGGTAACGAAAGACTACAGGTATATAAAACTTTATAGGGGGAGGGGGTTTTTATCATAATGGTTTCCCCCTATGTAAATATTAGAGTTCGTAGTAACCTGCATGGGCCCATAGGGCGCCAAATCGGGCTAAATGAAATCAAAATCAAATATAATGATCTTTATTTATAATTATGGTTCTAGTATAGATAATACCATCCGAAAGGCCAGCAAAGATGAATTATTCACCCTCCAGCGGTGCCGGTGAAATCGCTCAGCACGCCTTGTATATGTAGGATAGCTAAGAAATATCGCATCCCAATAGAAGTCAAGAGCAATCAAAAGTATATTTAAAACCGATCACTATTCATCAATTTCAGAACAGTTTTTCTCACGCGAGTCCTCTAACTTACTCATATCGCGAATCAACTCGCCCCAGCGACTGAAGAAGTATTCGCATCAATTGCAATGTGTAATGATCCTCATCAGCAGTCGAACATCTCCCCCTACAAAGCTATGATGCTATGTATACCCCCGAGGAGGAAACTAAGTCATAATCTACAAAGCTCGGATCTTGGTCTATGGGGGACCGTTGCTCTAATGGGGCTTCACATCTTGAGGAAGGACAAGCAGCTGGGACGTGGGACGAACGAGTGAAGAGGTCACAAATGGGCATGCTGGGACGCACATTTTTCGAGTATTTTCGACTGAAGTGTGTCTGTGGGCGCAGAGGTAACGATTTAGGATAGTGCTACCGACACTCTAAAAACAGGCAACGATGGAAGGTGTTTTGGTCCGCCTCCTGGTCGTCATCTCCCCGAATGAAAGTCTGGGTAGCTTGGACACCTACCTCACTCGAGAACGGGAGGACTGTGAGGACATATCTCGCGCAGCGGCTATATGCAAGATGGCAAAGGCTTGTTAGGGTAGCCAAAGGTTTTTCCTGTTTTCTCTTTGGTGGATATTAACGGTTGAGGGGAGGGGGAGAGCCCCTAGCACAAAGATCCTGAGTGTTATTAGCGAATGTATCCAGGATATGAGTAGTCCGGATGACAAACTGAGTTGTTGTCGTATATAGTCATCGGAGAAGGACTCGCCTCTCTGTGTTTCATGCCATATGACTACTAGGCTTGTACCCGTCACGAATTAACCTTTATTCACTCATTCTACCGACCCAATAACTCGTACCCCATGGAACGCTTATAACCCAACTCCTCCAGAATGTATTGGCCAAAATAATTCTATGTTCTAAACCATAGTTAATCTATTAAATTTTTGTTTGTCACTTTTGGGATAATTATGCGTAGAGGAAAAAAGACCAACAATGGTATGACAATTTTTAAGACGAGAACAAAATCTCAGATTCCCGGAATTTATTTCAACAGAGTGAGTTGGGTTTAGCGTATAAAGGAACACCATTGAATGATGAAAAATGACCTTACTTGAGGGTTGCTAAACGCAAGCTGGTCGACATCTTCGAACGCTTCGGATGGGTAGGTCTATTTACGGGCAAACACCTGACGTCTGGATTAAGAGAGTCTAGCACAAAGTATCTTTTGGGTTTCTAACGGTTTGGACTCATACAGTGTTTCTATCGTAGATTTGAGAGAGGGAATTGGAGAAGGGATGTAGCAAATCTTTGTGAAGGTATGAGTGAGACTTCCTGGGAAAACTGTTGGAAGGAATATGTAGTGACACAGATCAGAACAGGATAATCGGGTCACTAGTGCTTGATTTATACGGAAACAGTACCTATGCCTTCTATATAGCCATGGACTGAAAAGGTAGAGTTGTAATATTTGAAAATGAAAACGTGGTCATACGTGATTGATGTCGAAGTAAGATGAAATACTTTGGAAGAGCCTTCACACTCAAATTTCTTAACATCCGACAGCTGCTACCTGAGCCGTGCATAGTTTACGTTGACTAGTAGTACAGGGTATATGCATTCATTATTCCTTAACTCCTGTGATATCATAAATCTCGACTTCCCATTGTCATCTTTAGTCATACCTACAAATTGTGTGCCAGTGTAAAATCGGTTTCTATCAAAAAGATTGACAGGACTAATATGTTTACTGATCAACGATTTAATTCTAGTCGAACGTTTTTCCAGTTATACTATCTTCTGAATAGCTGTTCCACCTCTCCTAAGCTCTGGGATTAGGTCGAGAGTTAGACTCCTATCAGTGTGGTTTTTATTTGGGAATGTTGTTGCAAGGATCCATGGTCTAGTTCTACTAGAGGGGGAGGCTCGATCCACAAACTCGTGAACATGTCCGATGGTGTGGCTGGGATTAAATACAGCTGTTAGTCGTGAACCATCAGCTAGCTGTACTCTGAGGTTTAATGTGGGCTGAGAGGGATCAAGTTCAACACTTGAGGTTGGAGCTTCCGAGACAGAAGGTGCTTCGATTTGTGTCGACATGGTCGGGGTGGGGCTACCTAGCCTATTTCCTGTGCCACTGAAAGGTTTGTAGACTTTTGGAGGCTTTTGATAATTGCCTTCATGTTTGGTAAGCTGAACATCAATTGATTGACCAGGACGCACGTCCATGAGATTCAAGGGGGCGCGGCCCTGACGAATCATTTGAAGGTTAACAGCGTTTTCTGGATCATCGAATCTGTGTAGAGGACCGTCCTCAATGCTAAAGCCATCCTCCCAAAGGTGTAAAATTTTTGTTTGGGCTCTCGCCGTTTCTGAGGCTTGAGGCTCAGGGTTTAGTACAGTTCGAGAGGGTGCATCTTCACCACCAACAGTTTGGCCACTTCCTCGGAACCGGGAAATAACACTATTCGAATTATCGCTCTTAGATTTTGCGGCATTCCTTGCAAATTATCAGCTGTTGTAACAACTCAGTTAAATGTCTTACACTTTTGCGTTTCTTAGTATGTCTCTGACGACTTCCTTAGGGTGGTTTAAGTCAGTGGGATCATGCACAGCTAATCCTGATTTTTCGCCACCAGTAAAAAGGTCTCTTGGTTTTTTACCGGGCTCGTGATCGTCGTCATCATCTTGCAAGCTTCCTTGCCCATTGGACGTCCTCGAGTTCAGTGATCCCAAAGTTGCTATAATACCTTTTTTCTTCGTTGGAGCTGCCGATTTTCGGGGGGAGCTGACGGTAGGTTCTTGTGGAGGGGCCGGTTTTCCATCTAGCGTTCGAGGTCCGTTATATCGCTCAGGGATTTTTTCCGAGTTAGAATCTTGGTGATCGTGCTGCGACGTAGTCATGTCTTCTGCCTCTTCTAGTTCAGTGAAGTATTCAGTAGCTGCCCTTCCCAGGTCCCATTCACTAGCTGTTAAGTATCGTGTCGCCTTGATTAATCAAAAATTAGTTATTAATCACCGCGTGAGGAGTCAGCAGCTTACCTCTAAGGAAGTTGCATTAGTTAGTTCTATAAATTGTTGAACGAGAGAGTCACGAACAGAATCACTCATTTCGTTGAAATGATATGATCTCAAAATGATGAAATCGATAGGTTTGGTCAAGTAGTTGTAGCCTTAGGTTCGGGAATGTACTTATTTTTGCAGACGAGCTGAGGGAAAATGTGATGGTAGATTTTGTAATTCGATAATGAGATTCATAAAACAAGCCAGATTGAACGAGAGGTGGGCGTGAGATGTATTTCGTCTGCCAGTGGACGGGATGCACCTAATGGGTTATATAGATGCTCGCTTAAATTACACACGCTAGTCCAGTTTAGTAAAGCAATATTTTGACATCTGTGTAGCTCAACATGCACATTTATGTAGCACAGCAATTATTCATCTATTACACGCTCACCTGAGCTTCCTTGCCGTCTCAACAAGTCATCTGCAGTGGCTACCAGAAGATCAGAAATATTTTAAAGCATACACTGAACGAGGAAAAGATACCAGGTTAAATCGCTCGGCCATGTGTCCGCAGGAAAACGATCTCAAAAGCAGCTCTTCATCAACCTCTATTTCTGAAGAGAAAGACGAACTTATCGCAGACATTGACACATCGCCTTCAACTCCCTTAAACTATTCATCAACAAATATATGCAACAAACCAACCATCTGGTACTTACTTCGTGGTGCTGCAATTAATTTGCTCCTACCTTTTGTAAATGGCCTCATGTTGGGCTTTGGGGAGTTATTTGCTCACGAAGCGGCTTTTAGACTTGGATGGGGAGGCACCAAGGTAGACAGCCGCAAATATTTAATATGACCAACTTTTTTAAAGCAAGCAGACCTTGATTTCAACTAACTTGAATACAGGTTTTTCCAGCAGGACGAAGACGACGCTTTGTGGGGCTAGAAAATCTGCAAGACCACCAATCAGTAAAGGGGAAAGGTAGACTGTTGCGTGAAACAGCTAGTCTGGAATAATCAATCGCATACTCTTCAACAAGAACACGGCGTTGCGGTGTTTTGGTGAATGATTTATTATAACGACAGCTCTACACCCAATTTAATCAATCAGACCTCTCCATTGGCTTTTGTCGTTACAACCAGTATTTGTTGTGAGTCCTATCAAAGCTTGAGAATATATATGCTGATAGAGCGTACTACGAACATGAATCTTAATATTTACTGTCCGTGTCATCCAAGAGTTGTCGTTTTTAGTGTACTTTGATAAAAAATATTACTAGCAACACTCATTTGATTTGTTCCTTCATATGCAACTAATTGTACCTGCACAAGGCACCAGGAAGAAAGATAATTGCAGCCTAATTCAGCATGTGATGCCCACTAGACGCGTCTGGCTGCTCATGAGGCAAATCCACTTCTATGTCACACCGTTTCTTACAGATTACATGCTCATCACGATTTGAAAAAAGCTACTCAATCTTCCTTGTTTTACAGCATAATAGCCTCTAGCCGTGTATGATTACTTCAGAACACTCTACGGGGACAAAATTTCAATGTCGACCTGATCTATAATTGTGTAAAGTCTGGAGATAAAGGTGCCACAAATTTCAACCATTCAAAATAGCAAAGCAAATAGTTGAAGCCAGTACCCTGAGAGCTACAAGCTCTCACAGTCACAAATATAGATCTCCGGACATTATTCTGCCACTTAGTTTTACCGCCTACTGTTCAGTTCATGTGTGTACAGCCTTATTTTTTTGAACCATTCCATGTGTATCTAACTTTCTAGCAATAACACAGGATCTGTGCCATAATTCCTGAAAATTTTTTACAATGCCTTGTTCCCCTCTAGCACTCGTCGCATATATTCGAAAAACTCAGATCGAGCTTCCGGCATTCTTAACATGCCTCCTTTTCCGAAAGAGCGTCCCAACGCCATGTTGAATAACACGAGAGTCCGCCTATGGGCTCTCGCCCAATAAAATAGCCTTGCCCATTGTCCAAGATGCGTGGAGATTGGAAAGACCTCAAGCAAAGGGGAAAAAAAGCCCTTCCAACCGTTTCTGTGCCCGATTTCCACATGGTCGGGTCCGTCGAAATTGTTGATGTGATGTTTTATTGTGGTACTTGAGTCATAGACTATTTAAGATATCGGGCTCCTCTGACCCAGGCCACACCTTGTAAAGTGCTCCTTGCATCTTTTGTTACTCGAAAGATCATTGATATATTGCCCGTGATGAATAGCCATTCGGCTCAGTATTTACGCGTGGAATTCGGCCACCTTTTCCGCGGAACTTTCTACCCAAAATAAATGAAAAATGGTAGCCATAGAAACTGCATGCGCGGGAAAAAGTCTCTGTCGGTAAAAGGATCATATTTGGGCAGTATGAATTGTTCTATGTAATTGCGGTATTCATTTTTTTTTTTTGCATCAGATTTTAATTGCGTATGCAGCTTTTTAGCTATGACACAATATCAAAGAAAAGTACAGAAAAGATGACTCAATTTACAAGAGGAGCACTCATGCCTTGGATTTCATTTACAAGTACCACTGCCAAGTTATGGCGGCTTTTTCTTCACCTCAAGTCAACCCTCATCCGTGAATACCCACCCAGGGGAACGTCTCAAAAACCCTGAGTCATCCAAACATGCCTCCATCATCTTTCAACTTTTCTCTGCGCGATATGTGATCTGAGGTGTCTCTTTCCCGAGTGGAGTAGGTGCCCAGGCTACTCAAACTATACCAGAGAACACCACCAGGAGGCGGACCACAACACCTTCCATCGTCTTTGCTTGTTTTTAAAGTGTCAGCTGCACTCTCGCAAGCGAAGTCTTGGCGCGCACAAAGCTCAATTCGTAAAACTGCTTGCCAAAATTCAGAAATTCACGCCCTTCAAGGTTAGATCCTTCCTTTGCATCATTTTTTCAACTTGTCCTGATCCCTCTCACGTCCATCTCAAAGGACTATCTTCCAGATTTGTGCGCCACGCTTTGCTTCCTCTGTCGGGTATAAATATCGGCGTGGGCGTGTATTTGGTGGTCAACTGAGACCAGAAAAGGTCGAAGAGAGGCGTGGTCATTGGGATGAGGATGTAATAGGTCGTACTTGTAGGCTTGATGAGACTTAGGTAGGAGTCTAACTCATTGGGAGCGAAAAAACGACGTGGAGGAGTAATTTGGATTTTTGCCTCGTGGGCCAACTTCTTTGATGTTGCGAAATTTGACTGAACTTGGCTCTGGGAGAATATTTCACTCCCAGGTTCGTAGAGGACACCGCGTACAGGTGTTCAGTCTTGCCCTCCTGCGGTATTCATGTTGTCGTTAGGACACTGACAGGGATACGACTTAGCTCATTACCGAGGCGCTTGGAGTAGAGCAAGAAAGGGGAGATGGAGAGGAAGAAGAGAGACAACGTTTTATGTATTTCGAGATACCAGTTAATTGAGATTATACACTGACTTCGTGACGGCACCCAATTTGTATTACTTCGTGTTTTACCAACAGTCTCAAAAAGCCTGCAGCCCCAGCCAGGCGAGGCCTAGACACCGGGACTATATTGTGATAGCATGAGGGTCAGGAAAGACTCTGACTAAAAGGCAAAACAATAATATGATTGTAATCTATGAGGAGAGAAAGACATGGTGGCTAACGCAATACTATATACACATAAAAGTGGTTCCTCACTGGTCCAAGCGTACATTGTAGCACGTGATTAGTGTCCTATGACATATATGAGGTGCGCATATTCGTCTATATCTTCCTTCTTTGTAACATTCGAGGCCGACTTGATCCAATCCGTCATCGCTGTATTGGGCGCTGGGTACGCTCCGGAAACTCATCGGATGGCTTTTCCTCCACTATCAAGGGTTAGTGATGAGAAGGGCTTCGACTTTACCATCTGATCTTATCGTGCATAGTTTCATGATAATGGTGATAAGGGAATGTGTTGAGATATGAAGACGATACCGACCGCGAAAGCGATTGGGATTCCTCATCGAAGTGGGGATTTTGTTACTCAATCTCGGCTCTGCAGACTCTACAATGAGAGCTGGAGGTTCGTAGGAGACACCACTGTCAGGTGTTGAGAATAGTCACTCGAGTATTCGCGAAAGGAGTACTGGTACAGCAAGTAAGAAATGATATTAGTAGGAGAACATTAGCACCTAAGAGAAGAACGAAGCATATTGGTGTAAGGTATCAGTATAAACACAAGACGTTGCTAGAAGAGTACCCCCTCACGCTGTTTATAAATATATACAATAACAGAATAGCGTATAGATTCTACTTCAAACAGTTCTACTACGAATTACCTGTAAAACAAGCCTATTCGCATGAGTCCATACTACCTATTTGGAGGTTCATTCTAACGACTCGTTGTATTTTAGCCTGGCCGGCCAGACAAACTACCGCGTAAAGTTTCACTAAGTTATCCATGAAAGCCATCCTCAATGCCGTGTCTCGTTGTGTCACCGACCGTATGAACACCTCTAGGTCATTGCTCCAGAGCTGCCTCACAGCGAATGACCGATTAATGTATATTTCAGCTTTGTGAAGCAGTCCTGCCAGCTGCATTTAACCAGCTCCTTAATTGACCCTCGGTATTTATGAGAACAAGTATTGCCATATTTCAAAATTAAATTTTCTTAAATATAATTAGAGTCTTTAGTTAGATTCACGAAGTACTCCATAGTCTTAGACTCTGTAGGGACTATTTAAAAAATCTTATCTAGTCGAATCGCTCCTTAAATTTGTAATCATACCGACGCTTTGGCCGGCGGCGGTGCGAAGATTGGGGCGTATATGGGTCGTTCTCGCACGCCTGTGATGCCGTCTTGCGCACCGGCACCTCCAGACACCACTGTACTGTACTTTCTAAGAACAACGTTTATTCTTTCATGGGATTTGACGTCAGATTTGGTTGTAACATCGTCATGTAGGTACCGAAGACTTCGAGAGTCTAATTACCCTGCAGCATCGGCGTATGTAAGGTTTCGGGCTGAAGAGTTGCACATCTTCCTTTTTATCATTTGGTAACATCAATTGGTAGTTGTTGTAAATTTCTATTTGGTAGCCAAGGTAAGGTGAAGGCAGGGAAACGATGTCTTTCGAAGAAAAGACATTTACTTTTAGCGGCTTATGACTTATTTTTTGAATTTGATCTCATTTAGCTCGATTTGGCGGCCCATGGACCCATCCAGGTGTCTATGAACTCTAATATTTACTTGGGAGGAAATCTTGCAGTAAAATCACCCTTAGCTATCCGATTGGACTCTGCGCCATTAAAGTCTTACCTCTAGGAAGTGCACTCACACTGTTGTTGTCAGTGTGGATTCCGTCCTTGTCCTGTGTTTCCATTTTCCTCTCTTCGCCTGATTAACGCCTCGATTTCTCCGGTCATCCAAAACTACTCTAGCCATCCTTCCTTTTGAATCCACTATGCAATTCTAGTCTTTTTTTTGCATCATAGTCATAAATTTGACGTTTCTCCCCAGAAATTAATTATTCAATATCCTGATTTGGCGCCTTGAGACCCATGTAGATTTTTCGGGAGATAAGTACTTTAAGTAGGATGACTCAATTTAACGTTAAGAACACTCATACTCAAATTTCATTTGCAGATACCACTCGCAGTTAACCCTTACGGCGTAAAGCCTCTTCCGTGCATACCTATCACAGGGAAAAATCGCAAAATCCATTGAGTGCGGGGCTCTACTAGTTCCGACATTAGGACTAAATCTGAGGGCATAGTGACCCTTCTAAAGCTTTGGGATAGATCGGTCAACTGGGCGCTGCAGACTTGTGTGTACCTAAGGAAATTTACCCTCTGCCTTTCTAATCTCCTTCCCGAAGGTCGTGGTGAAATGTCAGAAAAGTCTTGACAGAGCGTGGTTGCTGTATAGTAGCTTAGCCTGACCTCTTTTGTGACGTCCAGGGCGCTGGGGAGTGCCGTTGACTCATCGACAAAAGAAGCCTTCCTGGCTAAATAGCCGAAATCTCGGTCTTGGCGCCCACAAACGTTCCAAAGTTGAAAACCCCTTGAAGATATCTGTCTCAGCATGGTCTCCAATGACATGTTTTCTCTCTCGGTCCACATATCAGCCGCCTGTTCTCCCTCAAGTTGTTTGTTCCATTAGAGCAACAGTCCCTCATAAACCAAGACCCAGGTATTGTATCTTTCGACATGATTTCCTCCTTGAGGGTATAAATAGCGTCGTAAATATGTAGTGAGAGATGGCTGGAAATTAATGGGGTAAGCTCCTGTTTGCATTTAGGGTGACTCCTTTATCGGCCGTTGAAGCGAGATGATGCGTGGTTAGAAAGAGGTTGAGGACTCAGTTAAGAATGATAAGAAAGGTATTGTAGAAAAGTCATCAAATGGAGATATGCTTGAGATTGCCTTCGACTTCGATTCGGAAGCGATTCTTCTTGGCTATCCTAGATATGCAGAGAACAATGAGCCATTACACCAGCACCACTGGAAGGTGAAGAATTCGTCTTTACCGTCTATACTTAGTTCATCGTCACGTATATAATCTTAGGTCTATCTTTAGCCCACGTTTAAGCAGCCTCTACAGTACACCTTCGTATCTTGCATCTTCTTTCAAAACCTTCGAGTCACATAAACTGCTTACGACATCTGAGTGTCTCTAATGTCAAAAGAGTCATCCAACATGTATAAATAGCACCGATGATGTGTTAAAGCTAGATAGTTGAATACACCTGAAACAATATAAAAAAATTTATGACGTCTTCTGCTATCTACTAAGCCAAGAACTAGCCTGACAGCGTAGTAGATTTGTTCGTTCCTATAATCGCCAGTCCGACCCGTAACTCGTGAAAAAAGATCCAACTGTACCAAGGTAATCCATGTTGGAGCCTGTAGACTTTGTAAGAGAATCTACAATCGTAGTTGCAGCTGTTTTGCTATCCGTTGGTGGTGTCGTGAAATATTTTCCAGCATCCCACCTCGCCATGCATAAGAGCAGCGTAGAAAGGTCGGGGAATCAGATAGAGTGGGCTGATTGAGATGACACAAATTAAACAATAAGATAATGATATTAGAACGCGGCAAAGCTTTAGAGCACACATGGGGATTTCTTTCCATTACTCTCAACATCTTGCAGTCTAACATGGAATCGTGGGTCTGTTGGTTCTCCACGAGATATAGTCGCTAAAAGATTCCAAGTTGTCAAATTTGCACATAAATTAACGAGCCTTCATTCAAAGTCGTGGGAATCAAATTTTATCAACAATAGCATCATTGTATCTACCATAGGATAGAGCTCTCTAATAGTAATAAAACATTCATGGAATTAGGACACTTTTGTAAAACTGATTCATCGAGGATCTTTCACCCCCTAGATACCAGTAAGGTGAATATTTCAAGAACTTTGCTTTGAGTTTTCACAGTAGTAATTATTATTTATAATTCACTAAGCTGCCAGTCCATTCTTTCCACAATTAAAACCAGATCATGGTGGTCCATTTTTCATTCAAGCATTTTTTTCATTACCTTCTTTCTTGCAAAAATTTCTTGTAAAAATGCAGTCTTACCCTAGCATCTTATGTTGAGTTGTTGTGGGGGGGGGTGATTAAACATTCAGAGTTTTGTAACCATCACTCGAGAAAGCCGTCAAATTAAGTCACCGGCATATTCAAAATAAGCACCTGAGATGACTGTTCATGCGAAGAATAGGATTTTTAGCCGTCCCTAGTATAATTATGCTACATTGTCGGTTACAAGATGTTCAAGGTTAAATCTTTAGAGAATGTGCCGGGTATCTGTGATTTAATGGTAGGCTCTTATTTAATGTTGAATATAAGTTGAATTTTATCTGATATTTGATTTTGTTGCCAGGGTCGCGAGAGACCTGAACTTTTAGGGATAATTTACTTAGACTAGAGGCAAAAGAATCCATCAGGCCCCCACAAATAATTCAATAGAAATCTCATGATGGATTCATGGAACTGAGACCTTCTTACTTGAGTTTCTTCCGAGTGTAAAACGCTACAAATTTAGGTTTTACTCAAAAAATTAAGTTGCTTGCAGAAATTTTGACACTCCTCAAATATTTATGATCAGAACCAATCCTGCAGATGGAATATGTTATGAAAGTATGTTCGGAATCTGAGAACATACAAGAAACTTAGTTCTTCCAGCAGTCTGGCAGATGAAGGTGTATATCTAAATTCAATAGCTGGCGTGCTTATTTGCAGTGAACCATGAACTCGCGTCCACTAAGTGCTTATTCCAACCAGGATCCTATGAGTCCTTGTCCTTCTCATCGTCATCGTCTTCATCTAGCATAGAGAACATTGGATTTCGGTCTTTCCTAGCAAGCTCAATTTGGAATTTCTGTCTATTCAGCGCGCCCATGAGAAAGGACCCTAGAACAATGACGTAAAATGCAATTATAAGAGGAATTATGGTAGACCTGTCTTTCAAAAATTCTACCCATGTTCCTGAGTAAAATTAATGTCAAGTAGAATATTAAAGTGAGAGGATTGTACTTGTTTGAGAAGCTGTAAAACTAAAATTCATTCTTAGTGCGTGGGGTCTTTTATTTCTGATTGATCAGTAATACGAAAGGTTGGTAGGACAAGTGTCTAAAGCCGAATGTGATTGGGAGCATGGATGCTAAATGGGCAACAGCACCTCAAACGCCATTGCCGCAAAGACAGTTACAAGCCGCCAACAGTAAGCCCTTCGTCTGACATGACAGATATCATTCTAATTTTATTCTCATTCACATAGAACAATGACTTTCTCTAATTAATTTATAATGAATAACACAGCATGAATCTTCGCAAAACAAAATGAACGATCTAAACTCACTAGACTGGTCAGCTCCTCCAAAAAATGCTAACAGTAGCTCAGCCCCAAGCAAGCAGTATCATACCCTGCTGCCAAGCTCAAACCCCCAAAATTTCAGTCCAAATACGCCATCCGTTACCCAACACAGCGGAAACTGCAGACTTACTCCCGGGACACCCGCTACACCCAAAACCGTTTCTGGTGACAGTTTTTCCAATCTTGTATCATTTGGCTCAAGTAAACAGACTGATATAACCTTGCGAGAGAGGCAAGAGCAGCTAGAAGTAGATAGGAGGAAGCAAGAGGAAAAAAAGAAAAAACAATTCGAGGCACAATTTAGCAATGATGCTTTCTGGAATGAAGTAGGGAGCAAAAGCCCAGGAGATCCATTGGTACCGTACAATTTTTCCAAAAATAAAACGAACAAAGTTGCTAGCACCTCGTTACAAAACTCGCCCATTCCAAGAAGAAATGTTGTTAAAGAATTTGAAACAGAAGAAAGTCTTTTCAAAGCTTTTAATTATAGCACAACGGTCGACAACTCAAGCCATTATCCCCCACCCTCCATGACAGAGAATAAGACCCCCGAGAAAAATATAATTGGTAGGAAACAAATTGATTTGAGTAAGCCTGAAGCGTGGAATTTATCACAGTCTCTATCTGGCGCTAAATTTGAAGATGACGATCCGTTTGGGCTGGCCCCTACGTTGACAAATAATTTAGAATTACCGTCAAATGAAGAGGCTCTAGATGATGACTTTTTGGGAAACCTAGGAAAACCGGTTGAGTATGTCAAAAAATTAAGCTCTAATAATATAAGTTCCACCCCAATTTCAAATGAAGACGATCCAATGCAAATTTCCCTCGCTAAGCTTGTGGACATGGGATTCACTGAAGAACAGTCTCGACGCGCATTGTCCGAGAGTGGCTCTGGTCTTGACACACAAGCCGCAGTAAGTTGGATACTAAATGATGCCCATAAGCAGACAAGAAAAATACAGGTCGGGAAAGATACAAGTAGTACAAATATTACCACACAACCTGAAAGAAAAGCTCCTTATCTCGACAATAAGAATAATCCAACTGACATTACCTGGATGAGCGATGAGCGCCATTCACCATCGCGCTCAAAATTAGGGAACATTCGACTTTCAAACGATAATTTAGATATATCCAAGGCCGCAGTTGCTGTGAGTAGCAATTTACTGAAGACAGCAAATTCTCTTTGGAAAAATTCACAAAAAAAGGTACAAAAGGCAGTCGCAGAATTTCAACACCAAGATTCTGATCCGAACCATCCTAGATGGATGCGAGACGCACCTGATCACGAAACAGTGCAACACGCAAGCAATTTTAAAGGATCTCTAAGAAGCCGTCGCAATTCTTCGGTAACAGATGAAGCTCTATTACTGGAGATTGATGGCGATATAAATCAAAGGAAGCTGAGGTCGACTGAGACAAAACTTTCTTTCCAACATTCATCACGCGAACGATCCACCTCCAATCCACGATTACCTTCAGAATTAAGCCGCTCCTCTGCTCGATCATATCAATTTTCTCAATCCAATGATGTGTACAAGAAGGATGGAGATGATATCAAGACAGAGAAAATTTATGTAAGCCCTGCCCGGCGAAGAATAGCAACGATTCATCCACAACCTACATTACCTAAAACAGAACCAACCGTCTCAGTCAAACCCTCAAAGCTATCAAATATACTACATGAATCCAGACAAACACCATCCTCTACTTTAAAGTCTTTTGTATCTAAACCTTGCAAGCCTAATGTGCCAGCACGACAATTACCTGATCTTTCTTCGAAAGATCTTCAGATATCAACTCAGCATCGAATAGCTGGTACTTCTCATTTCAAACGCGGTGACTATGCCTCTGCACATCTTTCGTACAGCTCCTCTATCTCCGCTCTACCTTCTTCGCATCCTATCATAATTGTGCTACTCTGTAATAGAGCTCTAACCTCCTTAAAAACGGGGCTTCCAAAGTCAGCTGTTTCTGACGCCAATATAGCACTTGACTTAATTGGGGAGTCACGTGGTGATACCGAAGTCATTGACTTGGGTCCCGGTGAGAGCGGAGGTATTAAAAATATGAGAGAGTACTACGGAAAGGCATTAATGCGAAAGGCTGAGGCTTTGGAGCAAATGGAGCATTGGAAGGATGCTGCCGAGGTATGGAAAAACTGCGTAGAACAAGGCATTGGCGGATCAACAGCAGTTCAAGGCCGAACACGATGTGAAAAATCATCTTCGCCGCAGCCATTGCAGAAAACAAGAAACAAAAATACCAGGATTATTCCCGTTTCAAATTCACGTATCACCACTGAAGATCCTGACTCAGTTGCTGTCAAGAAACTACGCGAGGCAAATAAGCAGGCCGAAAAACTAGACCATGAAAAATCTATTCTCAGCGAAAAAGTCGAAGCCCGAGTTGATATGTGGAGGAATGGTAAGCTAGATAACTTACGCGCTTTAATTGGTAGTTTAGACGCTGTCATGTGGGAGGGCAGTGACTGGAAAAAAGTTGGCATGCATGAATTGGTGCAGAATAATAGGGTTAAAATTAATTACATGAAAGCCATTTCTAAAACCCACCCCGATAAGGTAATTTACTTCTGGCTCAACTTTTTTAAGCTGACAAGCCAAAATAGTTGCCGCAAAATGCTAGCACCGAGGTACGGATGATTGCAGCACTAATCTTCGCGACTTTAAATGAAAGTTGGGATAAGTTTAGGCAACAAAACGGTCTATAATGTGTTCCATGGAGTAAATACATGTTTTATTTGCTCAGAAGTATTCTTTTACAATTGTAAATTTCCAGGTATCCACAAAAAAGTTCGAAGATATGATAGCCTATGAAAATTCAAAGTAATGGAGGATTCTTACCATGGGATTAAAAATGATGGATGGAGGCTGCTCAAATACTTACATGAGAACCATTTCCGTAACTCCATAAACTTGAATCGATTGTTATTATCTTATATCTAGTATAAAAAGTTAAGCGTATAGCTTAGTAGAGAGACTCTTGCTTAGTATTAACTGTGCTACTTGATTCATTTACCATCTATCTCATTGGACTTTTCTCTGAGCCAGCTGTAACTTATACAGAGTTCCTACCATCTTTTGTCACGGAAAAAAAACTTCGATGTAAAACACATGATGGATAGCCACTTGGCACCGTATTTACCCACGCCAATAAGCCTTATATTCAACAGAGTATATTACCCAAAAAAAATAAAACAATTAGCAATAGAAACTGCGCGGAAAAAACACTGTGTTTGCCAGGAACCTTTATAGCACTCCACGCTGTATTTCAGATTAATTTGATATCTTGAATTGAGTTTTAATGTAAAATTCGGATGACTTTTATTTTCTCCCATGTGAGCTGGTGTATATGCACATAACATTTAGCCACAATTTCTGTCATGTCCTTCCAGCTAACTACGTGCAGTCCAAACTAAAATTGTTGAGATTGGTCCTATTCCCACCTAGCGCACACCACTTCCCAGTCAATAGTTAGCACTTCCAACTTCACCGTTACACACCGGGCTTAGGGCAACATCAGAGGGAATTCTCATTAAATCATGTACTAACCCAGCAGATATTATAATATCATAATAAATTGTTACATCATCTGTAGCCCGCGGTCCATAATTAAACCTTATATGCTGCAACGTGACGGGTTTGAGTGCTGGTTTGCGTAAATCCCACGCTTCCAACGCGTCGCGAAAAGCGACGATGGCGACTAAAGAATAGGGCAGTGGAGCCTAGACAGCTATCATAGATAAATACCTTCAAATCTTGGAGATTCTCCTTAAAGAGGTTAAACTTCCTGTAATAGGTGAAACAGATGAGGGTTTACCCACCGTGAAGGATGCTAATAAAGCAGCTAAGACATATAATTACCACAAGAAGTACTGGACACTGATATCCGAGAACAAATCTCCAATCAAGAAAGGATGATTGCCATCGGAAGGCTGTCAAGAATGGCCTTGCGCATCCTACACGCGCAGTTACTCCAGCAGTGGCTTCGAGAACGCTACCTCAAAGGACTTACGCATCGATCGTAGCGCCACAAGTGACGAAATCGAGCGTTCAGATAATATTAGATGGAGCTAGAAACCTGCAGCTAAAGGAGCTGCCATCAAAGGCATAGCAATACATTCAAGACGCAGCGCTAAGCATGCAACGCCCAGCCAAGTTCAGAATTTTGCAGTAGAATTCCCTGCAGGGATTCTAGATGTCCTTCTGTGAACAAGGATTGAGGATGGTAGAAGTGCCAATAATCCTACTACCATTAAGAAGGTTTTGATAATGACAATGACTGGGGCTTGGATTCCCGGCATTATGATCAATTGAATAATGTGGCTACATTATATAAAGGAGCATCAGTGGTCAAAGAAAAACGGCCGCAAAAGATGATTAATCAAGTTTAGCCTCCCATCTGAGGCAATGCAAACTGAAGTAGTAAGATATGTCCTTATGATTAACGCCATGCTCTCTACTGCACAAATACGGTAACCATGAACATAGCCAAAGTAATGCCTCAACTATAGCCATTTGGAACACACGCAAACGTTGCCTGTAAAGAAAGCTCGGTGCAGTAGTTGCGCTTGTGCTCACCAAGCTTGGGACTGCCCTAAGGAAAAAGATTCTTGTACGAACTGCGGCAAGGTAAACTATTCGTGCCAGAAGGCAGCGTATGGGACCTACCAGTTTTACAGGTGTAAGAGTGGGAAAATTCTGCAGGGAGCTTTCATCTGGAACGACGGAAAAATAGAGTGAAAAATCGACCATGGCGTCAGAGCCAACAGCCGTTACGACTGATTGTCAGGGATTCACCTTGGTCACTATTTAAAAGGCCGATGAACCAAAAAGAGGTCTAGGATGTCCACAAAGGGAAGCCATAGCCTCAGTGGCACCAACGACTGCTGCAACAGAAGTGCGAACAATAGGTCCAACTCTACGAACACTCCAAAGATCTGAGCTAGATGAAGAGGTGCCTTCCTTTTTCAATATCTCTTAAATTGAGTCTTATTGAAGGAGTAGTTAATGAAATAATGGTTGAAAGTAACGTCCTTGGTATTAAGCGAGGTCGCTTCAGAGCTGCAGTATATCGGGATTTGTCTCTTTGTTTGGTTGGATTTTATCGTGCTCCTTGAGTCAATAATTATCTTTCAAATTGAGCTCCTCTTTGATCCAGGCCACACTTTCTACAGTGCTCCTATCCCTTCTTATTACGAAAGAAGATGTTAGATATATTGCTCATGATGAATAGCCATTAAGCTCAGTATTTACCCTCAGATTTTAGTTAAGTTTTACACGGAAACTTCTACCAAAAAACAAGAATTATGGAAACCGCGTGCAAGGGAAAAATTCTCAAAAAAGCTGCAGCCTAGCAAGTTGAAATCTGGAAACTAGAGCCACACGAGGTGTGCATGTACAATTATATATTACTTCTTTATAACATTAGAAATAATTGGATATAATCCACCATCTCTATATCGGGTTCTGGATATGCTCCAGGGACTCAACTGAAGACCTCTCCATGACCAAGAAAGGCGAATGATGATTGTAGCTCCAACTCTAGTATCTAGTCTGATAGTGATGAGCTTCATGACAATGGCGGAAACATACTTGGAGATGAGGCCAATACAAACCGCGAATGAATTTGGGAATCCTCATAAAGGTAGGGAAGAAGGTGATGCTCAACCTCGTCTCTGTAGACTACAGTTAGAGCTGGGGATTTGTACGAGATACCCCTGACAGGTGTTGAATTTTTATTCCCCTACAGCTACCTTAAGGACAGCCAATTAATCTAAAACAAATCAACTTGAGCTATAGCAAGATCTAACCATATGCTCTCAACCATGACTGCGATAATATCCAGTCAAGCTGGCGCATTATTTATTATCACAACCTTGCACCCAGTTTGTGGCTTTCCTCGAGAACCTTTGTGGAAACTCGAGGGACATTAGATAATTGGCGGGTAGTCAAAAGCTGACATAGACTCAAATCAGGAGATCCTAAACGAGAGAGAAAAGCATCTATAAGGTTGCGAATCTGCAAATATGTAAATAGGAATCTATCAACCGTTTAAATAAAGTTGCTAACACGAAACCTTCTGTCCCTGATCGTTTACGGCCCACGGGTTTTGTATGAATACTAACATCTAAGACAAAACTTTCGTATCGTGGTTTATCACAAACCAGACCGGTGTCTATTTGAATCGAGTAGTTGGAAACCCGAGTGTGACACTGTCGGCTTGCCGATGATTGAGCCGACGTCCGCGCGGCCACAAAAAATGTCGGGGCATCACAACCTTCCCCCAGCTATCATGTGCGGTCTGTTTCGAACCTAGAGGAGGAAAATTGACAGATTTTTTGAAACAAAATGTATTGCCGTGGCACTTTGAAGATAATTTCCCAGCCTAGTTCTCTGAGCAAATTACCAATCTAATTTGGATGCACTCATGGCATTACATATGTAGATTGGTCTGATCGTAAGAAGCGGAATAAGTAGCTTATCCAGATCCTTAGACTCGAAATTTCTCTGGTACTTCTCTTCTTATCATAGTACCCTTGGGTATCTTGCGACCACATTTATTTTCACTTTTGCCTGTCCACTCTTGCTGTGACGGGCTTTGCTCGGATTGGAACTGGCCACTAGGACCACTCCGTCTTCGAGGTTAGGCTATGGCAGAGTAGCGCTCCTAAAAATGCGAATGGGGCGCATAAGGGGTTGTCAAGGGGGGTACATACCAGATGGGAAGTATGGTACAGGAGAATAAGTGAGCCGGAGAGAAAGGATAATTCTCAGATGGACAAAGTGGGGTGTTAAGCCACCTTAACTTCGCAGTGGCACTTGCAAATGAAATCTGAGGCATGAGTGCTCTTCCTTTACGTTGAATCATCTAGTCTGTACTTTTCTTTAATATTGTCTCATAGCTAGGTAGCTGCATATGCAATTAAAATCTGATGCAAAGAAAAAAGTGGGGTGTTAAGCTAGTCTACTCGGAGCATATAATGGATGGGAGAGAACGTGGTAGATTGTCTTCCCAAGGAAGAAGTTATTCATTCCCATCGACTTATTGTCTTTCAAGTACATCTGAATCCATTAAACCTTTACAATTACTTCCTAATCTCCATCAGCAACTCAATGCTTCTTTTCACGTCTTGGAGACTATCTGCTTTGATTTCATTTAGCCCCTTCGCGTACTCAATGGGCCCATGCAGGTATATCTAGTTATAATATTTACAAAGGAGGAAGGCCTGGCTTATCTTAAAAATTGGAAAATCAGAAAGTGATTAGTGTGACTACTGTGGGAAAGGAAGACAGACAGTGCCACATCTGATCTTTCATTGTAAAAAGTTCAAGGTTGAAAGGAGAAAACATTTTGCAGATATAACACCACTTAGACTATCATTTATCATTGGAACACACATTGGGAAAATAGCATTACTTTGCTTTCTGGATTCAACTAAATGCTTTAGGGCATGCAGAAGATGAAATGGAGTAAAACTAAAACTACTTGAGAACAAAAGACATGGGGAAACTTTTTAGATATATTTTGTATGTTAGAACTGTGTCATAGCTATATAGCTGAATACACTATGCGTTTTTTTTTTTTAAAAAAAAGGAGGAAGCCGGTCCGGTTAAAAGCCCCAAAACTGTCTCTCCTTTTTTTGATTTTTCCGAGGTTTCCAACAGGAAGTGCGTTTACACTATTCATACAGTGTGAATTCCGTCCTATCATTGTCCAAATCGTCTCTTATTTTCGTCCAGTACAATTTCTACTCTCCTGCGGGCCGGAACTATTCAAACTAGCATTTTGCCGGGATCCATTTTGTTATTATCTCCATACCATCTGGGCTGTTTATCATTTCCACATACGACCCATCTTTTGACTTTAGAAGCATTACTGGTATATCACGGGTAAGAAATATGCTAGCACAATAGATTTTGAAATTTAGAGGGGTTGGTTGTTCTTATTCTCTTTCCTTCATCCAGATTGAAGCTATTAATACAAGATGTTCTACTGCTCGTATTACATATAATTAGGTCCCTGATTCTGTATATCTTTATATATCTACTCCATTTGTGCAATAAAGATTCAAAAATATTACCACTGCTACTTCATAGATAATGTGATTGTCTCTAAATAATCATATGTTCCGACAAGCTCCCCTCGTCTTCCTCTTCACCACTGAGGACACGCTAAGACCATATGTTTGATAATTTGAAATGGATATCCACGCTGGCATTTTGGATCAATCATCCCGAGTACTTTCCTTCGACGCAGATAAGGGTTGAGACCTATGTGCTCACTTCTTATCTGAACTGCAATCCTGCTTTGGGCCTTGCTAAGGTTCCGGTGGATATTTGAGGGTGTGTTTCTACAGGTAATCCTTTTTCTGCCCGTTGTTTCAACTATAATACCAAAGTATATCGATTTTAGCTTCGAAAGATCTCGCCGTCGCACAAGTCCTCTAATTTATGGATAAAGCCTTTAACTGAATAACCTCCCAGTAAATCTGATTCCATATACGGCATCTATTTCACAAAATTATCAATATCTTTAACTGACAGACTGTTATAAAATTTATTGCAATATGATACAGGATTTTGTCAATGTATCGATGAAAGTGACCCGATTTAAAAACTAAAATTCATTGATAGAAACTCTGGTGATCATATGTAACATATTCTGCCGTAACGCCGAGCTTACTAATATCGTTCCGGAGTCCACCTTAAGTACTGCTACTCTTAATGATCCATTCATCATGAGCTTTTTTTTGTCTCTCCCAATCCTTTTTAAGTTTTTTAAGCGCACTTTTAGGTACTTCTGAACCGTCCTGTAATTTAGTTGGAATTCCTTGATCATCCCATGCCCCCCATTTTGTATCAGATCGGAACATGACCATCGGATTGATTTTAGCCCTTTCTGCTCTTTCTGCATCTAAATTTTCTCGATCTAAACGTGCTTTTTCTTTGAGCGCAATCTTCTCGCGTTCTTTGAGGAGTTTTTCCTCCCGCTGCGCTAAAAGTTCTGACTTAGGTACAAACTTTATCAGTGCACCTTGTTCGATTGAACGATCGTCTAGGTAAACTCCAAGTTCAAGAAGATAAACATCCCGAATTCGATCTGAAAGATCAAGAATTTGTTTTTTAGCCTCCGAGTTCGGGGCTAGCTTCCGGAGAGTATCTCGAAGTTTGGATGTAGCACGGAGGAAGGGCATAGCTAGTACATGAACATCTTTAGCACCAGATTCCTTCAGAACGCTGAATTCAGTTTCAACATTTTTACTTGTCAAGATTAACTCGGTATTAGACTCAAGTCCAAGACCTTCAACCTCATTTATAACTTGGTTAAATACTTCTCTGTAACCTGAAACTATCTCCTGAGAGCTGAGATTTGTACTTGATGGTCCACTCGACCATCCAAGCCCGTCGTACGGGGCTAAGGCATTTGCGTCAAGACCAAGAATACCGATGATCCTTGTAACCCAACGAGCCACTGCTTCAAGCGTAACAATATCGGGAGATAATTTTTGAGTAGAAATGTGAATATTTACTTCTTTGATAAGGTCAGATATAACACGCAGTGCGCGCGGAGTATCAAACGAATCTGTAAGTGATGAGTGAAGATCGAGCTGAGCTTTTTTTAACGTATCTGCAAGCGCTGAGTGAGACATTGGGGCAATTCCGGGGTTAAGCATGGAAATATTTTCAGATAAGTGAGATTTTACATTTACAAAAAAATTCTAAGAAGCTTAGTAGGTCCAAAAAAAGTGATAGAATTCTTACGTTAACAGTTGTCTCCCAGGCTTCAGCCATAATTTTCATATCTGTTGAAATTTCAACGCCATCATTCCAGCGTCCCATTAAGAATACAATGCGCATTCTTCTTGGACTAAAGTCGGTCTTTAAGGAATCTCGAATAGTTTGAAAATTCTTTAAAGATTTTGACATCTTCGACCCAGCAATAGATAAGTGCCCCATGTGTAGAAAGTATCTAACCCAATCGTGACATCCATTACTAGGTTCACAAAAATATGCCTCACTCTGCGCTAATTCGTTATCGTGATGAGGAAATGTCAAATCTATCCCGCCCGAGTGAATATCCATTTGTGAACCTAAGATATCAGATGCCATAACTGAGCATTCAATATGCCATCCTGGCCGACCTTCTCCCCATGGACTTGGCCAGACTGGTTCGCCAGCTTTAGATTTTTTCCATAAGGCAAAATCGCCTGCTCCACGCTTCTCTCCGAGATTTTTTGATAGAGAGCCCTCACCTTCTTCCTGCAAGGCTTTATCATTTCGACTATCGGGCCTTAGTCGAGCATATTGATTACCAGATTTTTCAAAAGCGGTAATGTCGAAGTAAACAGATCCATCGACTTCGTAGGCAAATCCTTTGTGCATAAGTTGTGCTACAAAGTCTATAATTTTGGGTACATAAGATGTTACGCGCGTTATAGTATCGGGCCTTAACACATTAAGTTTATCCATGTCAGCCATAAATTGATCTTCCCAATATCTTGTAACATCTGTGAATATTTTGTGGTCATGTCCATCAATTGACTCCTTGTATAGAGAGTCCAAGTATGCTAGGAGGACTTCATCTGCCTTGCCGAATATTTTGTTTTCCAGTATTGCATCTGAGGCCGAGGATAAATTGTAAAGATGCATCTTTATCTTAGCCTCAGCATCTCCTGGCTTTCCTACTCCTGTCAATGTACCACCGGAAAGAACAGCTCCATAAACTTGATCCCTCCATGCTAAGAAGTTTTTTGGACTCAAATTTTCCACACCTGAAGCTGTAAGTAATTCAGGTAAGTTTTTTTTGGCATAAAATTCAAAGGCAGCGGTAGTGAGCGCGATAAGTTCGGATTCAGTGTGAGACTTTGATTTCTCTACTTCCAATAATTTCTGTCTTCTTGCCTTTAGAATTATCTGTGATCGGATGAATTAGGTGATGTCTGATACTTTTTGCGTAGTAGATAGTACCTTGTCATCTACGTCTGTAATGTTCATAACAAACTTAACATTGAACCCAAAATAGTCCCGCATGATGCGGCGTATGATATCAGTCGAGACATAATTCCTTGCATGCCCCAAATGGGAATGATCATAAACTGTCGGTCCACAGGCATACCAAGATATCTTGCCTTCTTCCTTTGGAATAAACGGCACTGGCGCTCCTGGTTTCAGTGAATTATGGACTCTGAATTGGGCCATCTTCGCGCCGCAAGTTACAAATTCTCTACTCTTCGGGACTGAGGAGGAGATTCGTAGAAAATTAAAACGGAAGAGTACACCCATTCAGTAGTCATGGATCGTTTCATTTACTTGTATAGTCGCATCGGGGAGGCTATGATCTTCGGACCGAATTAATTGGAAGTGAGTATCTCTAGCCTTGTCCTCATTATTGCCACATCAAAGTTCATCATCGACAAGCACTGCAAACATGACCAAAACCTTATCACCTTTCCTGTATCCCGGAGAAACATCGAAAGTAAATGTCCTTTCTATTGTTTACATGAAAAGAGACCTTCAGATTCCAACTATTCTTAGAGACCACGATGATAAAAACGAAGGATATGCTGAAGGAAAAGTTTTAAATACCAGATTTGGTAATTTCCCCCACAGCACCTTAATTGGACTACCTTGGGGCAGCCAAGTGAGAGCTTCTCTTGTAGACACTGGGTCCCGAGGACGTCGAAAAAAAGATGGAGATTCAAAACGAAGACGAGAGGGCTCTGAAAATGTCGATAATCCCAGTAAGAAAATAAAACTAGAAGACCAGCATAATGAGATACTTCATGCCTCACAAGGAGAATTAGTTCAAGGAGAAAAAGAAGCAGTGACAGCCTCAAGTGGATTCATTCATTTACTTCCCCCAACGCCAGAGAATTGGACAAATTCTCTACCCCATAGAACTCAAGTTGTGTACACACCAGACTACAGCTACATTCTACATCGTCTCCGTGCTAGACCTGGATCTCGTATCATTGAAGCAGGTGCGGGAAGTGGATCTTTCACTCATGCGTCAGCGAGAGCCATCTTCAATGGATATCCTACCACAGGTGAGAGAAGTTTACAGGATTCCCTGGTTGAGAGAAAAACCTTAGGCAAAGTCTTGAGCTTTGAATTTCACGAGGAAAGGTTTGAAAAGCTTCAAAAAGAAATATCTGATCATGGTCTTGATGGCATTGTTCATGTAACGCATCGAGATGTATGCACAGAAGGATTTTTGATTAATAATGAAAAATCACCAGTACATAACGACTCAAAATCTGGAACAGAAGATATGCAATCACAGAGCGAGCTTGATACTAAGGCCACACAAAAAAAGTCTCTAGAAAGTCACACCAGCCCTTTAGCAAATTCAGTCTTTCTCGATCTCCCTGCCCCTTGGTTAGCTCTTCCCCATCTAACCCGCTCCTCATCTAGCCTTGACAATGAATCTTCTTATATATCAGCCCTAGACCCAACAACACCGGTTCATATTTGTACCTTCTCGCCCTGTATTGAGCAGGTACAACGTACCGTCTCAGTCATGAGACAGCTTGGATGGGTTGATATCAGTACTGTGGAACTGTCACATAAACGCCTCGAAATCCGACGTGAACGTGTGGGACTTTCAGCTACAGGTGCTCAGCGTGGGCTACAAATGACACCTGCAAGTGTAGAAGAAGCTGTAGCAAGATTAGTCGAGGTTGAAGGAGTTTTTAAAGCATACCATGAAAAAGATAATGACATGGATGTCTGTGAAGAGTCTTCAGCCGGTGAAGTCCCAGATCTCAATGTGGCAGAGATGCACCAGTCAGCTAAAGGAAATGGTAGTAGACGTGAGAAGATACTCGAAGATCTAATTATGGGCAAGGGCTATAAACAAGGAAGACTTGTACATCGTTCTGAAGGAGAAGTTAAAACACATACCAGCTATCTCGTATTTGCTATCTTACCCCAAGAGTGGAACGAAGCAGATGAAGCCGCAGCTAGGAAGAAATGGCCTTTACCTGCAGAAAGTAATGGCACCGAAACAGGACAACTAGCAAAGCCCATCAGCCGAAAAGCTTTGAAGAAAGCTGCAAGGGCTGCCCGGAAAGCGAAGAAAGATAGTGATTCTATATCAGTTGATTTGTTAATAGAGAGAGTTGAAGACGCGGCAACTACAGGTATATACACGGATAAATCATTAGATTCTCAAACATAATAATGGCCGGTTAAAATATTTGTATGGCATATGGGGTGACGATAAAAGTAATAAAATGAATTCAATTTAACTTGTCACGGCAATTCAACCGAAGTAAAGTAATACTTTTGACCTAAAAAGAATTTCTCATGTTCATTCAAATCCTACAATAATTTATCCTTTGGTTGGACAAAAGGTGCTTGTCGAGCCTTTTTAGTGGCTTGTTAGCTTTAATGATTGGCACTGGAGATGTCCGGGAGGATAGCTTGCACTTGAGCTTTTAATTGGAGTGTGTATAAAAAAGGTGTAATTGTGTGTGTGTGTGTGTATCTTCCTCTTTTCTATCGGCTTATAGTTCTACAAAAATCCAATACTTACCAAATGATGATAATATCTAGAAATAGCTCCCTTATATCACAAGACACAATCCTAAAACGGCACAATACCAGTCTGCCATATCTGTTACACTGAAGCTCATTTTTTTCTAGTTGAAAATGGCCCGAAACTCCAGGGCTTTCCTTGATGCAACCACATATTGTGTCAGGTACCAGCTTGGTATATTATCCTGACAGCATATTATGGACATGTTAGATGAATGGACTCAGACGAATCACGAATCAATAATTCAGGAATAAAGATGTCATTGAGTTCTGATACTAGCCTGATAGTTCTGGGCACTCACGATATTGTTATAAGGTTAAAGATTGGAAAGGATCTCGGGTTGTTGGAGAGTAAGGGAGAAATTTATTCAAGCACAGGAGCAGGTGAACGGAGCTCTAGATGTAAAGCTATGGAATTGACGAGAGGAGCGATGAACATATCCTTTAGAGATATCAAATTAATACAATTAGCTAAAAATGTGTAGAGGTAGAAGAGACTACATATATATCCAAGAACAAACTTGGTATGATGAAAGTGTGGCACCTAGGCGATCAAATTGAAGAAGGGATCGGAGGTTAATCCTAAAAGCATAAGATTTAAAGATAACGATTGATTTTTTTCCGGCTGCCATACACCCGCAATTGGCCATCGTTTCGTTGGCTGGAGAGGGGAGATAATGAAGGGCAAAGGGCTCCTCTTAGTGTATGATCGAATGAGGACTTGTGAGGGGCGGTAGTGTTTGAGGGGAGCTATATGGGAGGTATGGGATGTGATACACTACTGGTATAGGTATCCTTAGCCTGTAGGCAGAGAGGACCTGCATGTCCTACATAGTCATAGACTCAGACAGGACAATAAAATGAATTAATCATAAACCCTGGGTGTGCAGCCCTCTAATCTACGACTGTTTTTAACGGAGTGCAAGGCTGAACACCTGTATGCGGTGTACTCTACGAACCTGGGAGTGAAATATTCTCCCAGAGCCAACTTCAGTCTAATTTCGAAATATCAAAAAAGTTGGCCCACGAGGCAATGATTCTAATTAATCCTCCACGTCAATTTCTCATTTCTAACGAGTTCGAATCCTATCCAAGACTCATCAATTCTACAAGTGCGACCTAGTACGTCTTCATCCCAATGACCACACCTCTACTCGACTTTCTCTGGCCTTAGCTGGTCGACAGATACACGCCCACGCCGACGCCGATATTTACACCCGACGGAGGAAGCAAAGCGTGGCGCACAAATCTAGGAGACAGCTCTTTGGGATGGACGTGAGAGGTATTAGGACAAGATTACAAGATAAGGCGAAGGAAGGATATAACCTCGAAGGGCGTGAAATTCCGAATTTTGGCAAGGAGTTTTACAAATTAACCTTTGTGCGCGCCGAGTCTACGGTTGCGAGAGTGCAGCTTACACTATAAATACAAGCCAACGATGGAAGGTGTTTTGGTCCGCCTCCTGGTGGTGATCTGCAGTAGAGTCTGGATAGCTTGGACACATATCCCACTTGAGACAGTAGATCGCTGGCTCAGATCCGGCAAAACACAACCACATTTCTCGCGGCGCTGGTATGCATGGATGGCGAAGGCATGCTTGGATAATAAAAGGGTTTGAATTTTCCTTTGGCGGGTACTTACGGAGGAGGTTCGACTGTTTGTGTAAGCAAGCATACCTCATAGTGGTATTTGCGAATGATATCCAGAGTATGAGTATCTCTAACACCAAAAGAGTCATCCTACATGTATCCATTGCGCCGGTCATGTTTGTTTTCTATTTTGAAGTCCTAGGTTACTGTTATGGCGTGCGATAAGGATACTGGGGATCGCCGTCTGCCGAAGGTAATGTATTAATAACTGTTAGGATAATAGTTGCTAATGAAGGATACTTAGAAATAATTCGATTGGCGAGGCGCCAGGCAGTCAAAGGTTGTAGAACTGTAGGATAGTCGAAAGACACGAAGTCGATTTGCCGAGCAAGCGATCAAGGCTGATACCTCACGGTAAACAGAAGTACGAAGAATGTAACGAATAACGAAAGACTGAGAACATCGGACTGTGAGAATATAAGATTATAATTTTATGTAAATGCTATATTGCGAGATCAAAGATCAAAAGATTGAGAAGCTGGAGAGCTACTATGTGGTAGCTCCAGCTTCCTTATGTCCAACTCGAAACAGTACTTGAACTCAATTAAGACTATGGCAAATGTAGTTATGACGCCAGCCCCTCCATCTCTAACTGTCAGAGTTTTCTCGGAAACCTTCTACCATCACCTTTTCCTAAAAACATTCTTAAAAGCTTCTCCTTGAAACCTCTTCAAGGATGCCTGGCCATAACAGTAACACCCGCTATCCCCTAAGGGTCAAAGACCGGTGTTTACAGCTAAGATCAAATCTACAACACGCCCAGCTTGTTCCCACAACTGAACCACCACACAAATAGTACCTAGTTAAATTACATGCAGCAATACATAAAATAGAAATCATAACAGAAACTCCCGGCTGTAAATTAATACTAGCACTTGCAGTTGGGAAGCAAAGTTCCTCGCCTTGTTTCCCTTCCTATCGTGTCGTGCAACGTGACCAATTTCATGGGACCTCGCTGAGAGCAGAGATCTAACCTGCAGGTGAGCACCCATAACATCGGGTTTTCTGTGCAAAGTTTCTGAAGTCTTCAAGGCACTTGGGTCCGAGAAGTTTGTGTAAAAAGTTGTGGGACTTTTTTTTAATTCATATTGTATTTAGCTATAAAGCTATGACAAGTCGTGGGACTTTAGACCTCAAATTCAACGTGTTTCGTGAGAATGCAGTCTACAGTGTATGAAGTGTGTAGGACTAGTCTCCTCCTCACACGCACATTCATTGGGTGCATCTGCATTGTTGGATCGGCGATTACAGGCTGCAAAATTGCCGTGACTCGTACGGGCTGCGATCAGTTTGCGGAGTACATGCCTTCATCGATCCAGCTCTGGCGGCTTGCGCCGTTTCATGAGCAGATCCAACTTTTGATACCGAATAGGGCAAGCTTTATCCCACCAATTGCTGAGCAAGGCTTGTAGCTGGCAATTCACAATACAGCTAAGGTATGCAAACGAGATGGATCCTGGTTAACTGTCCGGAATAGGCAACATTTGTAAACCGGAGCGCACAGTTGCGTCTGCTTCTTCGTTCCCCTGTATTCCTGAGTAACCGGGGATCCACTTGACTGTCACGATAGCTGATGCTGAAAGCACGCGAAACTGTCGTATCTCTTCGAGACTGGTTGAAGAGATGCCCGTCTCAAATGCTTTTACAGCACGCTGACTGTCCAGCAACACATTCACTCGCCGTATTGCCCCCTACTGCTGATGTTGCGCTTCTTTTATTCTCAGCGCCGCCTCAATGTGACGGCATGTGAGCAGGTAAATCCTGTAGCCTTCGATGGCTATCGAAGGCAACTTATATTCTCTGTCACTCCGAGGATTATCAGCAGACGAAAACTGATACAAGATCGCCACTGAGGCTACGTAAAAGATAGTGCCAAGAGTATCGGAAGCGTTACTTGTGTGGCAGAACAAACCTTAAGTCAGTTTTATTGCCACTGTAAGCGTAGGCTAGATTTAGATACCTCTAGATGTGTACAAGTAGTAGAGTAGACTTGCAGGTAGTTTGCTTCTGCATAGATGAATTATAGCTTTACCTTTCAATCATACAAATGCCCATTCGCTTTCTATATTCGAACTGTGACATATAATTCATCTATCTCAAGTTACGAAAGGTACCACGACTTGAGGTACGACGAGAGATATTGCGTCAAGAGATACGACTACGAGAGATACGACGGGAGAAAAATCATACAGCTTTAACACCACGGAAAGCTGGCAAAGACGAATCCTTCACCTTCCAGTGGTGCCGGTGTAATCGCTCAGTATGCTCTGCATATCTAGGATAGCCAAGAAGAATCGCTTCCGAATCGAAGTCGAAGGCAATCTCAAGCATATCTCCATTTGATGACTTTTCTACAATACCTTTCTTATCATTCTTAACTGAGTCCTCAACCTCTTTCTAACCACGCATCATCTCGCTTCAACGGCCGATAAAGGAGTCACCCTAAATGCAAACAGGAGCTTACCCCATTAATTTCCAGCCATCTCTCACTACATATTTACGACGCTATTTATACCCTCAAGGAGGAAATCATGTCGAAAGATACAATACCTGGGTCTTGGTTTATGAGGGACTGTTGCTCTAATGGAACAAACAACTTGAGGGAGAACAGGCGGCTGATATGTGGACCGAGAGAGAAAACATGTCATTGGAGACCATGCTGAGACAGATATCTTCAAGGGGTTTTCAACTTTGGAACGTTTGTGGGCGCCAAGACCGAGATTTCGGCTATTTAGCCAGGAAGGCTTCTTTTGTCGATGAGTCAACGGCACTCCCCAGCGCCCTGGACGTCACAAAAGAGGTCAGGCTAAGCTACTATACAGCAACCACGCTCTGTCAAGACTTTTCTGACATTTCACCACGACCTTCGGGAAGGAGATTAGAAAGGCAGAGGGTAAATTTCCTGAGGTACACACAAGTCTGCAGCGCCCAGTTGACCGATCTATCCCAAAGCTTTAGAAGGGTCACTTTGCCCTCAGATTTAGTTCTAATG